CCATACGAAGTTGTAGACATTCAGCTTTTTCTGTAAAAATAGCAATGTGAAATTAATATTTGATTATTTTTTCAGTGCTGGGGGTAGAACCTAGGATTTCATGTGTGCCAGGCAAAGTGCTCCACCACTGAGCTACACCTTCCACCCAAGTTATCTAACTTGTTTGGCCAACGAAAATGATAATTTTACATATATATATATATATATATATATATACACACACACACACACATACACACACATACACACCCATGTACACAAAGGAAGGCAAGGTTGATAGAGTCACACCAAATAAAGTTGAACACAAGGCAAAAAGGGACAAATAGAGTTTCTTACATCTATAACTCATAAAACACCCTACTATCAGCATGTAATCTCAGCATTCTGGGAGTCTGAGGCAGGAGGATCACAAGTTCAAACCTAGCCTAGATAACTCAGTGACTTAGTGAGAGCTTGTCTCAAAATAAAAAGTGAAAAAGAATGAGGATCTAGCTCAAAGTCAAGTTCTGGGTGCAGTCCCTAGTGTCCTGCCCTCTACACACATATCACAAAAGCTCCAACAACCACAAGCACGATGACAAACATGAGAGCAATATCAGCAGGAAAAATAACTTTCCTGGTTGTTTTTGGAGCATCTAATAACATAGCTACAAAAATATGAAAAAACAGAGCTGCAAGACATGTAAAGAAAGCTGGACATGGTGATGCATGCCTGTAATCCCAGCACTCAGGAGGCTGAGGCTGGAGGATCATGTGAGTTTGAAGCCAACTTGGGCTACAAAGTGAGCTCAACACCAGCCTGAACTGCATAGTGAGACCCTATCTCAAAAAGACAACAAACAAACAAACAAACAAACCATCTAAAAGGAAATTGACAGAATATGGTGAGAAACTGTGATTGACTTGGACAGATAAGCTTGAAAGATGAGATGCTGATACAATAACTTCACTAAGATTAGGCTGAAACCTAAAGGGGGATATATTGGAGTCATTCATAGAAAAATGGATTCATCTTGAGATCACAATGCTGACTGAAATAAATCAGACACAGAAAGTTAACTATCACATGGTTTCTCTTATATGAGAAATCTGAAGTATAAACAGTGTAGAAGCAAAATAAAAGACAGATGAGAGGAAACGGAGATACAGTGTGTGGAGCTGGGGGTGGGGGGACCTGGGAAGGGGATGGGAGGGAGGAAGGAAGAGGAAGCAGAAAGGGTCCAGCTCTAACTGCGTATGTAACAACTTCCCATGAGGAACATATTTATTATGTATCACAAACATATACTAATAAAAATGGGAGAAGAAAAAGAAAGTTCAGGCTGAAGAACTTTAAAATATTTGAGAACAGTAGTTGGAGATCTCCACAGCTGTAGCTTGAAATGCTAGGCCTTGGCCTGGAGAATTGCTATTATTCCAATTTTAAATAGAGAGTCATGAAGGGCATATGCTGGGGCTTGAGTATAATATCCCGTTTTACTTTATATTCTCCACCTATTAATTGGGGCACAGTTCAGCTTTAGGTAACAGAAAATTTCCCAATTATCTTGACTTACCAAGATGGGAGTCTCTGTTTTTCTTACATGAAAAGAGGAAGGCAATACAAGATTGGGGTAATAGCTCTGTAATGGTAAATTAATAAAAACCTTACAGTAGAAATTAAAAATCAGTCAGTAGCCTGTGGCTATACTGAGGATATGCTCATGCTGCTTGCCATGTATTCAGACTGCTAAGTTCAGTTAGCCTTGACCACCTGCGTCCAGCTGCCTCTTCCAAATAGCTGGCCAGGTCAACCTGACCACATCCAGCTGTAATATCTGTTTTTCTACTTAAAATACATATATATATATCTAGTTTTTATTTCAGCTTACTTCAAGGACTTTATACTTTATGCCCAGAGCAGACTGGCCCAGTCAAGGACACATTCAACTCCACCCGCTCTGCCCAAGCCCCCTCCCCCCGGAATACTCTTGTCTAATGATAAGCAATTCCTTTTAAGTAAACTTGCTTCAAACAAATCTGCCTGACAACATATGACTTGATTCTTGTAATCCATGTAACCAATCATGTAATCATGTGGTAACCTGCTATCAACTCTGTACTTCCTGCTTCCTGTATTTAAACTGAACTCAAAGCTGACTGTGGGCTGATGATTTGGAACCAGTTCCCATCGGCTGCTAGTGTTACATTACAGTTGCCTTCCTAACTCCTCAGTGCAGAGCATTTTCCTTTTGTTCCTGGATTTTTCCCGCAACGTCTCCACACAAATACATCCTGCTTCCTGCCCCACACTATCTAAGGGGTGATGTTGAGCATTTTCATGGTCAAAAATGGAGCCCATCCATTCCTTCATGCTCTGGGCAGCAGGGTGAAGGGAGATAGTGCCTATGTATCCATCCATGGACAGTGGCATTGCAGATTACCCTGGGCCCTTTGGTCCTCTTCATCAGAGAAGGAGGTGAGGGATTTGGCTGGCTTAGCTCCTCTCTGGGAGTGGGGACAGTCAATCCTTCAGCGCTATGAGTCAGGCACATTAACCGCCTGACACACAGAGTGGGCTTGGGGTGGTGGCTTGGGACCGTTGTATTGTATTCCAAGCAGACACTCTTTCCACAATTGGCCTTGGGTTTTCCATTGGATACCTGGCTATGCTTAGAGCATTGCTGGATGGGAAAGATATAGTTTTGGCCTCTCTTTTTCCTCAGCCCTTCTCCTTTCCATCCTCATTTAGATCCTGGTTATAGAACAGAACAAATGCTGTGTCCAGCAAGGGGGCCATACAGGTCTGGGAGTCTCTCTGAAGTCTTTGTAATTTGCACTGAATATCTGGGACTGATTGACGAATGAAATGGTGTCCCTTCGCTGCCAGTCCCTCTTTGGCAGCTGGATATGGGTTTGTACTGTATATTTACAAAAAGCTTCTGCTAACCAGCAATCAAAGACAGTTGGATTTTTCTTTTTGCCTTTCCCTGTGTAAGTTCTCTCATCCTTTTGTAATTAACAGCTTTTTTTCTTTCTTCTTTTTTAGTATTTTGAGACACGGTCTCATGTAGTTCTGGTTGGTTTCAGACTCAAGCTGAGTGTAGACCAGGCTGGCCTTGCACTCATGGTGATCCTCCTGCCCCAGCCTCCTGTATGCTGGGATTATAGTTTTCTTTTTCTTTCTTTCTTTCTTTCTTTCTTTCTTTCTTTCTTTCTTTCTTTCTTTCTTTCTTTCTTTCTTTCTTTCTTTCTTTCTTTCTCTTTCT